TTCATAGGGTTTCTCATAGGGTTTTTCATGGGGTTTATAGGGTTTACAGGTTTTGCGGTCTCGGGTTGACCACCCCGAGGACGTCGAGGGAGCAGACTCACGGATGGAACTGCCCATACCAGCTCACGCGCGTGCCCGAGGAGACCTGCCAGAGACACGCTTTTTTTTGTTTTGAGGGTTAGGGTTTAGGGTTTAGGGTTTAGGGTTTAGGGTCCAAACCCAAAAATCTCCTCAGCCCCAGACCCCAAGCCCCTAAAAGCCAAAAACCGCTTTAAAAAACCCTGCTTGGTGACGAAATGAACCCTAGAAGGGCCTGTGGTTGTTCATGCACCTTATAATGGGGGTTATAGTCTGGGGTATGTGATCCCATTTTTAGGGTTCATGTAGTCCCCAAAAAACTTCAACTCTAAACACAACGTCTTTGAGTGAAGGTAGTCGGATTCAGGTTGATGTTCAGGCAGGCTAAACACACCCTCCCCAAAGCTTCGTGGGTGTCAGACTCTAGGGAACCCGACGGTAACATGCCACCCTCGATCGGATGCCAAAGGTAGTAGGACGGAACAGTTGAAAGGAGGCCTGCTGCAACTGGCCGGAGGTTTCATGGTTGAGGTGTCGTTTTGCAGACACACGCCCGGGTTCTGGGATGTGATAAACCAATCAGTGTAATGCGGGGTCTTTGAATTTCATTTGGGTTGTTTGAGCAACCCTGAAACCCCACACCCTAAATTAAACCTTAACCCAAAAGCCCCACATTGATGGACCTCATGACTATTAGAGCATGCCTACGATGGGATCGATGGGGGTCCTTTTTTTTTTCGCGGGGTTGGGAGTATGATGGGCCTGGGGTAGCCAAACAGTCCGTATTCTAGGATGGGAAAACCGTAAACCCTAAACCTTACACCCTTAACCCTGAACCCAGAACCCTGAACCTTATAATTCTTGCGTTCCTCTAAGCTGGGCCGGTTACGGTTGTTGGCATACCTTGGAACCGGCTCGATGTCACTGTGTCAACAGAAAGAGTGGCTGACCCGAAGGTCTACAGGCTGAATTGAAGGGATCCTGAACCCTAAACCCTACACCCTACACCTAAACCGTAAACACCCTAAAAACCCTAAAAACCCTAGACCCTAAACCCCCCCCCCCCCCCCAAGGAACTGACGAAGGGAACCGCCGTTGTGTTTGACACGGCGGCGGATTGCGACACGTACGAGCTGCACGTGCTTGCAGGCAGTGGGATGTGAGGGCCTTGTACTGTAGCTGCAGGGGGAGGGGCATCCAGACTGATAGTCTAGCCTTTGCAGAGACTGGGCATCCGTCTGCGAGACCCACCTGAGTGTTGATGGTAGCTCGGAATCATCGTCAGTGCTGCATAGTGCTGCAGCCACTTGCATCAAATGGTTTAGAATTCGCTGAGCTGATGAAAAGAAGATGTAGCCAGATGTCCTGGTCTCGGCAATGCTCGGCCAAAGAGTCCGCGAAGCTCATCCAAAGCCTTGGAAAGAAGAGCCGCTGGCAGCAAGCCCTGGATGTACTTGGTGGCCTCCACAAGCAATCCCTGTTGCTTTGTCAGAGTTGGGTAACCTTTTTACATGTTTTTGAGGGTACTTGAACCCAATAAGGAATAGAAAGTTGAAGTTTTTAGTATTTTCCCTCAACCATGAACTAGGTTGGCCAACGTCTTCATCTACTCGGCCGTGATTGGCGCGGCTAGCAGAGGCAAGCAGTGGAGAAGTGCCTTAGGGCTCCTGCCTTGCATGCACCAGGAGTCGGTGCACCCAGACATGTTCATCTGGAGTGGCCTGCTTGCCACCTGCGACGCCTTGGGATGGGAGGGGAGCCTCAAACTGCTTGCCTCAGCTGGCCCCTCTGCAAGCACGGTTGTCTACAACACGGCCATGAAAACCATGTCCCTGGGGCACTGGCCTCTGGCCATGGACATGGCCACCAGTATGAGCCTCTCATCAGTGCAGCCGGACACCACCACTTTCAACACTGCCTTGCTGGCTCAAGCTAAGCAGGGTCGATGGCAGCACGCCATCGAGATGCTGTTGCAGTCCCGCTGCGTTGCAGAGATCCCTGCTGACATTGTCTCTGTGACTCTTGGCATGTCATATGAAGCAATCAGCTGGGAGCAACATCGGCATGGGCAAGAAGCCCATGGTAAGGTTCTGGCAGTCTAGCAGTATTTTTGCTGTGGAAGCTGCATGCAAAGTGGCATTGCTGTTTGCACGTCTTCTGGTAAGGAACACGCTGCTGGCGATTTGCGCCAGCGATTTGGACGGGCGCTGGGCTCTACGGCTACTAACTTGGGCAAAGCAGTGGCGCTTGCAGCCGGATGCCTCTCGGCTAGGTTTGATGGCTGCTTGATGCGCTCCGCAGGATATTTCATGATGCGCTCCGCAGGATATTAACCCTAAACCCTAAACCCTAAACCCTGAAATTTAGTTGTGTTCCAGGCATGGCTGTGAGATTTCGGAGCCGATGTGTGCGAGTGTAAGTCTGAGCGCGAGTGCGAGTGCGAGTGCGAGTGCGTGAGCGCGTGCCCCTCGATTTCTGCAAGAAGGCACCTTCTAGTCCTTGGGCATGTCAGCTGCCAAGTAAGTTATACTTGCGGTGTAAACGACTTCTTGGCGCATGTGCCGAAAATGTGCTCATGTGGGATACCGCAAACCTGGCAATGAGCTTCAGCCTTTTCTCCACAACGGTTTTGCTGAAACAGCTTATGCACGTTTGTCACGAAGGGTGTTTAAGTTGATTACTGCGTTTGCTGCTAGGAGTTGTCCGCCCCAGGATCAACACTCGGCACAAAAGGATGTGCATTAGAAGGCCATACTGTAGAAGGATGCCGGTGGAACTCGGTCGATTGCGAGATTTCAGTGAACTTGCGAAGAATGACTCGTGTGCTCTTGGCTAAGTTTGCTACGCACGGATCGGCAAAACACATCGTTACCTGGCCCAAGGTCGTCAGCTATTCCTCTGGCATCACTGCCGCAGAAAAGGATGCGCACTGGACCCTGGCTCTGGCATTGCTGCAGGAATCTATGGACCAGCAGCTTGGCAGCAGTGGCGGAATTTCGTGTCACACTTTTGAGCAGAACATGTGTGCGGGCGTTGTAGCTGCCAGCACGTAAGCAAACGTCCTAACCCCCCCCCCCCCCCCCCCCACCGAATTCCGTTCTTCTTCACGTTGTCTGCGGCGAATTGCGGTGAAACAAACCGTGCTTGGCTTGTTTGCAAGCCTGCGGCAAGTCCAATAACCCTAAAGAAGCCCGTTGCCCGGAATAATTGCGAATAGTATTCCCTTATGGCCCCTATATGAATACACTATAATCTTCCCCAGAACCCTATTCTACTGATTAGGACCCCTATATTTGACAATGCCCAGGCAAGTGCTTCCAGACTTGGTCATGTTCAACGCTGCCATGTCCGCCTGTGAGAAGGGTCGGCAGTGGGAGCGGGCGCTGGCCCTGCTGGGGGATGCTTGGGCGCAAATACGGGCATGTCCATGTGGGGTCCTCTCGGGTTACTTGTGTACCAGGTTGCATGGCTTGAATCGGGAGTCCAAGTACACAAAAGCCACCATGCAGCGTGTCATGCTGTTCTGAGTTCCAAACCAAAAGCCCTAAAGCCCTAAAGCCCTAAAACCCTAAAACCCTTAAAACCTTAAACCCTTAAGCCCCTAAACCCTTAAACCCTTAAACCCTTAAACCCTAGATCCCTAAACCCCTAAACCCCTAAAACCCTAAAACCCTAAAACCCCAAAACCCCAAAACCCTAAACCCTAAACCCTAAAACCCTAAAACCCTAAACTCTAAACCCCCCATCTGCTTGAAAGGAAAGTGACAGAGCACACCTCGCGCCTGATGTTGTCAGCTTGGGATACTCGGACAGATGAAGCCATTTGTTGACTTCAATCCTTGGGAACGAAATTAACCTCAAAAGGGTTTCTTAGAACAGAGGTGAAAGTATAGTGTATATGACCCCATTTTTAGGGTTCATGTAGTCTTCAGGAACAGCATTCTTTGAATCTGTGAACGTCCCATTTGGCTGGCGCTTTGCTGGAACCTTGCTCAGGCTCGCAACACGAACCCCCCTCAATCCGCCAGAGATGCCTACGTATAATATGTGCAGTTCTCTAAATTAGGGTCCCTTTTAGGTCCCCTTTAATCACAACGTGCCGTTCTATGTGGGGGACCCAAAAAGGAACCCTAGTATAGAGAACCACCCAGCTAGTTAGCAAATGTTACCAACGAGAACCCTCAAATGCTTTCATCAGGAGCTGCGGCGACTGCATGTGAGAATGGTGGGCATTGGGAGGGTGCCTGGTCACTGTTGACGGCCATGCAGGCACGAAGAATCAGACCGGACACAGCGCCTTGTTGCCAACAACCAGGGTTTAGGGTTCAAAAAAGGGTTTAGGGTTTCGGGTTTATAGGGTTTAGCTACCAGAGGCGTTGTAGGGGGTTTGCGGCTTTGAGGTAGAGGCGTTTTGGTCAGCATCTTAGCCCTGAACCCTAAACTCTAAACCCTTAATCCTAAACCCTACACCCTAAACCCTAAACCCTAAACCTAGGTTGTGTGCAATGCCATCATCGGTGCTTTGGAGATGCTGGGCTGCATTGTGAACAGTTAGATGGAGAGAGGCGGCAAACGAGATATATACATATTATTAATAGAAAGGGAACATGTATATATATATATGTACAAATATATATATATATATATATGTACACATACATACATACATACATACATACATACATACATACATACATACATACATACATACGCGCCATTCATATGGTCGACTTCCACAACAAAACAGGGAGCTGGAAGCGCGCACTGGTGCGCCCTTTTGTTGTCACCATGCAACATGGAGCTTTGAAGTAGCAAAGTGTGCGAAACTTACAGAGGATTTAGGGTTCAAGGTTAAGGTTGTAGGGTTTATAGGGTTTAGGGTTTAGGGTTTTTAGGGTTTTTTGGGTTTAGGGTTCAGGGTTTAGGGTTTAGGGCGCCGAACCGGAGCAGGATGGGGTACTAGGTCCGATAATCCCCATAATCAACCCCATAAAGGGCCTTTTGTAAGGGGTTATAGGGGAGAATAGCCCGTCGTGCATGGGAGCTTGCCTGCCTCATTTTTGTAGCGTGCCCGGGTCAATGTCTCTCTTTCCGGACTTGCTCTCCACAAAGCATCATTTTTGTGCTTGTAGGGTTAGGGTTTAGGGTTTAGGGTTTAAAGTTTAGGGTCATCCCTCCATAGCAAGGAGTCCAGTTGCAAAAAGGGTCATCCGTCCATGGCAGATCGAGGCACGTAAGAGCGTCCTCTGGAAAAAAAAGGGTTTAGGGTTTAGGGTTTATGGTTTACGGTTTAGGGTAAAACCCTCACAAGCGCAGGTTTGTAGGGTTCGAAGGCCTTGCTAATCCGAAATGCAAGCTATGTCAGGCTTTGGGCTTCCTAAGTGGCGTGCCGCGGAACTCCACAAACCCCGAACCTTAAACCCTGTCAGCTAAACCCTGTCAGCCTTGAAGGTTGGGTTCAGGATGTAGGGTTTAGGGCTCAGGATCTAGGGTTTAGGGCTCCGGACTCAGGGTTTAGGGTTCACCCTAAACCCTAAACCCTAAACCCTAAACCCTCAGGAAAGGAAGCTGCTGGAAGATGGCTCTGCAGCTACTGGGTTCCATGAAGCATCGAGGGCCAAGTCCCGATCTGGCAGCCTCAGCTTGAGTTGAGGGGGCCCAGGGTTCCTGAACCGTTTAGGGTTTAGGGTTTAGGGTTTAGGGTTTAGGGTTTTGGGGATGTTCCCCCCTTTATACTAACAGTCCTGAATAGGGGTTAGAATAGGGGGTACAGAACAAACATCCGAACCATAAACCCTCAATCCCAAACCCCTAAGCCCTAAACTTCTTAGTAGGGAATGAGGAGAAAATCATGTACCTTATAGAATCCCTTAAAGATTGTTTGGTTTTTTTAAAGGGGGATAGCAGATCCCGATTCCAGTATTCCTGTCCTAGGCAGGCCCATGGGTCATTTTTTTTGTTGGTTTAGGGTTTCGGGGTTCGGGCTTAGGACGCAGAAGCCTGTTTCAACAGGGTTGAGGGTTCAGGGTTTGGGGTTAAGAGGATCACAGGGTTTAGGGTTTAGGGTTTAGGGTTTAGGCTTATGTTTCAACCTTTGAAGGATCCGAGAAGGTCTAGAATGCTTGGTGTGGTTGAGTTTTGCAAGAGGGGAGGGACCTGGTAGGGTCTTGGCTTTTGCTCTTTGCCTGATTAGTTTTGTGTTTTTTTTTGTTGGGGGGGGGGGGGGGGGGGAGTGGAAATCTTATGAAGTGCTACACTATGAACTCGCACAATCCTGCGAATGTAAGAGCTACGAAACTCCAGAAAACCCTACGCCATCTGCGAACAGCTGTGACAATCAGGGGAAGCGCAGCATGTGTGATATCTTTTCCCGTTGCTACTTAGAGGAAGGAGGAAGAACGACCTCTAGGCAAGGCTTAGAATCGGGCTCGGGGCTTGCAGTTTCCACCTTGACCAACCTTTGTGGTTCAGGCTTTAGGCGTTCATAGGGTTTAGGGTTCAATAAGGGTTTAGGGTTTAGGGTTTAGGGTCCGTACAAGAAGGAGGATGCCCTAGTTGGGAAGTCTTGAACGACAAAAAAAGGGCTTCCATGTCAACAAAAATCCCAATGCGCACCCACATCCAAGCTCTCCCAGCGAAACATGAATCAAGATAGTAGGCCATTTTGCCTCAACCCATGTTTCAAAGAGCCGAGATTCTACCTTGAGGGCACAGATCATGTTTCTGTCAATTACGCCATGAAGATTCCAATCAAAACCTAGAGGAAGTGAAGAAATCAAACCCGGAGCAACCTGAAGGAAACTGGGTGAACTGGGGCTTGCACGGTTGCATCTGAGATCCAAAGGTAAAAGCCCAAGCAGTGAACCCCTGCACAGCATGGGTTCTTCCCCAAGCGCTTTGTGCCGGCTGTGCATAGCCAGGTGTCGTATGTTGCTACCATGGCTGTGTGTGACAAGGCTGGGCGGGGGAGGCTGTACTGACAATCTTTTCCTGAGCCCTTGTAGAAAGTAGAAAAGCCACCCCTAAATACCTCCCTGCAGCGCATGTTTACGCAGGTGTGCCTTCTACGCATGTCTGCCAGACATGTGCAAGCTGCTGACTTTCAGCAGGTGTGAGGTTCCATGCCCGGTTGTCTTGGTTTGAGTCACCGGTACCAGGCTGAGAAGTGGGAGCAGACTTTGATCTTGCTGGATGAGGTCCTGCAGACATCGGAGGCCAGGAGCTATGATTATGATGCCCGATAGCCTTATAAGACAGGGATCTTGCAAAACCAGCAAAAAGTTAAAAAAAATCGAAAAAAGATCTAAAAAGAATCACGAAAAAATCAAATCACAAATCGAACCTAAACAGCCTGATGTGCCCCGAATCCAACAAAATACATAATAGCATTTTTCTTCGCTTTCTCAGTCCGATCGTTTTTATTTCGATTTTCTGAAAATCGAATTCGCCGATTTTTCCCGATTTCTTGGCCCGATCGATTTTATTTCGATTTTCTGAAAATCGAATTCACCGATGTTTTTTCGATTTCTTGGCCCGACCGATTTTATTTCGATTTTCTGAAAATCGGATTCGCAGATTTTTTCGATTTCCTGGCCCGAACGATTTTATTTCGATTTTCTGAAAATCGAATTTCTGATCATTCGATTTTGCGGCGATTTTTTCCGAATGATTTTCGATTTTTTGTCGATCTTGGGATTGCTGTTATAAGGGGAAATTCTTATACCGGAAAGTTTTTGCAATCTCAAAATCGATCAAAAATTCAATCAAGACACCGACCAAAAATCAACCAAAAATCGACCACAATCACGCCAGAATGCTTTGATCGTCCTGGCGCAAAATGCATCCCCAGGTCGGAAGCTCCGAATTAACTTCTAGTTTGTTTTGATTTCTCCGAAAACAAAGCAAGTTCGTTTTGATTTCTCTGAAATCAAAGCAAATTTGTTTTGATTTCCCCAGAATCTGAAAAAAACCTTCTGATGTCTCCAAAACCCAAGGCTTTTTTGGCCGATTGTTCGGCGATTTTTCGGCGATTTTGGCGGCGATGTTTTGGCGAACTTGAGGGGTCCCTGTCTTATAAGCTATCGGGCATCATAAAGCTATGAGTCTTTCAGGGCTCTTTTGATGAAGGGGTTCCCAGAGGCTCCGTTACCGCTGTTCATGACCGTATGTCACGTGGGATGATGTGCAAGACACAAACTCGCAACATATTCGCATCTCCTGCCATGGAAGCCAGGACATGACATGCAGTCACAGCAGTACGCAGGGCGAGCATCAAGCGGGGGAACAGAAGATGCTGGCAGCAAGCAGTCTAGATCCTTGTCGAGCCAACGTCATGCTTCTACATCGGAGGTGAGGAGGCAAGTTCGTGACACAATGACCTATACTATACATTCCAAGCACGAAGAGACAGACACGGAGCACAATGTCAAGATGCGTCCAAGACCGCGTTGGCATCTATGTGCTCCGTGGAACACGCGGTCTGATCTTCCAACAGTGGAGCACCAAGGGAACCACGGCCATCATCATGCCTAAGCCCGAAACTTTGTCATAGTGGGGGGGGGGGGGGGCAACAGCTTAGGGGTACTTAAACTCAATAAGGAACAGAAGTCTATATTTTTAAATATCTACCCCAAGCATGAGCAAGGAAACTGCTAGGACACTTTTAAGGAAGCCTTTGGCAGGTCTCCAGCATTCAGGCGGCCCTGAGCATCTGCATCAGTGCCTGTGAGAGGAGCTCCGAGGTGCAGAGGGCCTTGTCGCTTCTTGGCGAGATGTACAATAGGACATTAGAGATAAGCATGTTTAATAATGTAGAATATATCAATTAACAACATAAAATCACATAGTATAGTAATATCTCTGAACCAAGCAGGAACGGACTTGTAAGGTAGCGTTACATGTGCCACAGGCGGGCGTGGAGGTAAGATCCTCTTTGTGCTTGCTAGGAATGGTTTCGGCGCTCCCCTTGAAATCCCCTAGCACCTGTGCTGACTCAACCAGGCTCTTTGACAAGTTGTGCGAGCGTGGCCTGAGACCAGATCGCAACAGCCGCGGGTCAGCAAAGTTAAAGGCAGCTCTTACAGCTGGGTTTACACGAAACGGTTTATAGGCTTAGGGTTTTAGAGTCCTGCAAACTACCCCACCACCCTTTGAATTTCTGAACTTGCCTCAAACTGCACTCCGCCATCGTTGGGAATGTTTCGGATTTGAGGTTCACAAGGCTCCAACGGGCTGCCGTCTAAGTTCTGGGCCCTTTCTGGTACCTCAAACAGGTTTCCTAAACTCTAACAAACCCCAAACGGGACCTTTTGGGGAACCCTAAACCCTGAACGCTAAACCCTACTAACCCTAAACCCTGAACCCAATTGAGGGAGCCTACCAAAGTCTGCAGCTTCAGGCTTTAACTCGGCCCTCCGTGCATGCCAAGCAGCCGGGGACTGGCGGCGTGCTCTGCGCTTCCTTCACAACGAGCAGGCGGGTGGAGGGTTTAGGGTTTTTAGGGCTTAGGGTTTTTAGGGTTTTTAGGGTTTTTAGGGTTTTTAGGGTTTTTAGGGTTTTTAGGGTTTTTAGGGTTTTTAGGGTTTTTAGGGTTTTTAGGGTTTTTAGGGTTTTTAGGGTTTTTAGGGTTTTTAGGGTTTTTAGGGTTTAGGGTTTAGTTTTGGGTTTCGGGTTTGGGATTTGGGTTTTGGGTTTAGGGTAAAGCTTAGGGGTTTAGGGTCTAGGGTTTAGGGGTTTAGGGATGTAAGGGTACTGGGAAACTTCGCCCCGGCTTACTGAAGCAGCCCGGCAGCAAAAAAGGGGTTTAAGGGTTAGTTAGACATGTTCTTACCCGGCAGTGTTCGAAAGAGGGGGTGCAAAAAGGGATTTAAGGGGTTCAGGGATTTAGGGAGGTCTACTTGGAGGTTCATGGTACTTATTAGCTAGTTCTAACCGTACTTATAGCTGTACTGATAACCATATTAGGGCACTTGAGGGGCCTATAAGTGGGTTATCAGTACAGCTGTAATTGGTTACTAAGTACCATGAACCTCCAAGTAGGGTCTTAACCCTAAACCCTAAACCCTAAACCCTAAACCCTAAACCCTAAACCCCCCTTTCTTGAAAGGGTTCTGCGGTGTGGGCCCTTGGGCTTACTGGGGTACATAAGGGGTATAGAGGCGTTCTTGAATTGAGAGCCCACATTAACCATTAAACCCTAAACTAGGCCCTAACCCCCCAAACCCGAAATCCTAAACCCAAAAAACCTAACCCTAAACCCCAAAGCCTAAAACCCTAAACCCTAAACCCTAAACCTTAAACCCTAAACCCTAAACCCTAAACCTACCCTTATACCCCAGACAGGCATCAGTAGGCAACGCCTCTGCAGGGCGACTTGGCCCGAGACCTTACGGGCATTAACGCCGCGACTGGGGCCACTTGGCTCCATGATACGGTTTAGGGTTTAGGGTTTAGGGTTTAGGGTTTAGGGTTCGGGCTGCGACGGGCAATGTGAACTTGGGGGAGTCTAGGGCAGCAGGGAGGGCGAAATGGCGGACTGACTCCCGAGACGAAACTGAGCTTTCACTCATTCTCCCCTCAGCCTTGGGATGTTCCCCCCCTTATACTAACAGTCCTTAATAGGGAATATAATGGGGTTTAGGGTTTAGGGTTTAGGGTACTATAATCCCTATTAAGGACTGTTAGTACAAGGGGAAAGCATCCCAACCTCGGCCCTTAGTCAGGCCTGTGTGTGCCGTGGCCAGTGGCCCGCCGTTCCCGAATTGCTGCAGCGGGCGGATGGGGCTGCCGTGCAGTGGTCGAAGGAGGCGCTGGGAGGGCTTGGGTTGTTGATGCTTTTCGTGGCGCCGAAGCTCCAGAATCTCAAGTTCTGCCACCACAAGAAACAGACGATTCCATCGAGAAGGGTTGCATAATGATAGAAGACATGGCCAAAGACCAGGTCCCGAAAGAGCCTTCCGAGCCCCAAAGTCATCCAAAAGCCTGAGCCCTTACCTCTCAGGCACGCGCGAGCGGCAGCTTGTGACTGAGGGGGGATAAGGGATGCCCTGGTGCGCAGATGACGAGCCGGTGCTTGGCCTGTGCTGAAAATGCGTGCATGGGGTGTTGCTTTGTCTGGTTGGGTATGTAGGGGTTTCCCAAAATACTGGTGCCCTTCTTGGGTGGGGAGCTTCAGAAGAAGGATTTTACAATTTTGGGGATTTTTCCCTCTTTTTTTGTGCAAAAATGCCCATTTACCAAGACGTCTTTGGGGATCGAGGGGTGCTGAATGAGCTGAACACGGGGTCTGCGGTATTGGCAGAGGTAAACATCAGGACAGCGGCAAGGCACGGATGGCAAGTCCAAAAGTTGTTGGGTCATATTCTAGAACCGGGAGTAGGGCCCTTTTTTCCTTTTTTTTGGGTTGGGGTTGCCTTATAATCCCCTTTAAAACCAGACAGATACCCTCTCTATTCCTAATTAGGTTACTCCCGGGTCTAGTTTTCTTGACAATCAGAACACAGAAGCATGAGTCCTGTACTCCAGTGATGCATCGACTACTTAACTTGTGGGGGGGTGGGGTAGGGCATCCGAAGTGGAAGCCATCACCAGAACGCTGGCATTCCGCATGCAGCGCTGCAGCACCCTCGCTCAACCCAGCCGCATTCCTACGCACTTCGACTTCTCTCATAGTCATAATCCTTAAGGTTTAAGGTTTAGGGTTTTGGGTTTTGGGTTTAGTCATAATGCAGGCGACCTTCTGCTCTTGTTCACAGATGGGCTCACTGACAACCTTCACTGGCACGAGGTGCGATCTCTTTGAGGTTTGACATCCATGGAGGGGTGGTTCAAGCAGCAGGCATCGGAGGATGATGGTGCTTCAGGTTTAGGGTTTAGGGTTTAGGGCCTAGGGTTTAGGGTTTAGCGTAAAGTTTTGTGGTGGTCAGAGATGTTGCTTGAGCTTGCCTGGAGGGAGATCGGTGTCCTGTGTGAATCGGCAATTGTCTAAGGGTAGTTGTCTGGGCCCTCAATGTGGTCCCTTACCCTCCTTAAAACGGGTTCTGATGTATGGGCGCTTGGGTTGTATAGGGTAGACAAGGTGTAGAAAAGGGGGGGGGGGGGGGGGGGTTTAGGGTTTAGGGTTGAGACTAAGGGACCATGTAGCTTCCCTAAGAAATTGGGCCACCTCGGATGCATTTTTGCTCTGGGAGCCTCTCCTCAGGGGTCACCAGCAGCACAAGATTCGCACCCTAAACCCTAAACCCTAAACTCTAAAAAAAAAAACTCTAAACCCTAAACCCTAAACCTGACAGGTTGAGGGTTGAAGATCGTCCGCAATCCGAGCAGTCCAACGGTTCAACATCGCCTGCATACGTACATACATACATATATGCAGTCATGCATATGTGGTGCAGCGTGTACCGATACGGGACACGAAACCATAGATGTAGACATATATATATATATGTAATACACACACAGATATACATAAATATATATATATATATCTTTATTTTTTATTTAGAAGATTGTTATTATTTTCTTTCTTTATTTATAGAGAGAGAGAGAGAAGCCGCTAGAGTTTTGACTCGTCACCAACCCTGAAGCCCCAAACCCTCGCAAGCCTGGAATCCAGGTGGTGCGCAAGGTGGATGAGGTCTTGGAGCGAAAGATAGGCCAGGGCTTACAGCCACCCTTGGGATGTTACCCCTTATACTAGCAGTCCTTAATAGGGATTCTAGTGCCCCTATTCGAATCCCTGTTCAGGACCCTAAACCCTAAACCTAAATCCTAAACCCTGAACCCTAAACAGGACTGCTAGTATGAGGGGGGCCCAAGGCCACCCTGAAGGCCGAATGAACCCTAACATAGCTCAATGTGGAGTTTTAGTAGAAGAGGGTAGAGGACCCGAGTGTTTTGTCAGCAGATGCAGCCACTAAGTTCAGTCATGTGGTCATATGGCTAAGGTTTTTTTTGCATTATCCGGGACCTAGCAAGCCTGCCATGATTTTCAGATAAGAGATGTGCTGGATTGTGGGCACGCCTCGTGTCATCAGGACCCTCTCACAAATCCAAATCTTCTCCCATATAGATTGGCACGCAGGGTTCTCAGGAAATGGATGTCGGAGCATAGTTTCCAGAGTTGCTTGGCTGCCCAGAAATAGACCGACACAGTCAACTGCCTGCACGCCGAAAGAAGACCCCCGAGACTTCAAATCAGCAAACCCTCCATGCAAAGGGCGCAGGTAGTTTCCCACATCGCTGTGCGGATGCTCTTGGTTTTGCTGGTGATGGGCACCGGGCTCCTCCGATGCTGTGCTTATGGAGTTCTCGTGCTGACGGACTTCCCTAAATGTGAGATGGTGTTTCTCGCCCTTGCAAAACCCTCGCAAACATCATGGAGACATAGTTCTCCGCTTGCACAGCCCTGCAAAAATCGGATGCCGTGCCGCGCCGGGTCGTGCGCCTGGCGTGCGCGAGCGCGTCATTGAGTTGTCTCGGCTCGCCTGTTGATCGACTTCAAAATCTTCAACCTTAAGCCGTGCACTTCGAGTTGTTGTCTTCATTGAACACTACACAATGAAGGTTGGTGTGCCATCGGAGCCGGCTCACACACTACAGAGCACTTCAATTGATGCGTTCATCTATTCGCAGTTTCAGCTTGCGGTTGCAAGCGAAGAAGAGCAAGCTAGATCTTCGAAGCCACGCCAAGTCAAACCCTAAACCCTGAACCCCAAACCCCAAGCCCTAAGCCCTAAGCCCTGAGCCCTAAGCCCTAGGCCAAGCTTCAAGCCCTGGCCTTTGTCGTGTCAGGCCAGGGCGGGCATGCACCTCCTGAAGATGTCACCGGGCTGCAGTTTGAGCTCAATCTTCGTTTTTTCTATTCTATTTATTATTGTTATTATAGTTATCAGTAAATATATATAAATATAAACATATAAATATAAATACAAATATAAATATATATATATATATATATATTTATATATATTGATTACAAAATGACCGTATTGTATTGCGACATAGTACGACATGATTAGTACATTGGGACCAAATGAACCCCCCAAAACTGGGGTCATATACCCTATACTGCTATACAATTCCGACGGTATATGAACCATAAACACTGAATGTTCAGGGCTCCTTTGGTCCCCAGGGAATAAGACCGTACATGGTTATCCCAGAACCTTTTCTGAAGTGGGAACGGCCCAATTGAAACAATGCCCTGAAAACAAACAGCCCTAGATCCTTCTCTTCTAGCATCACCCTAAACCCTAAACCTGCTGAAGAGGTTTTGATTCGTGATGAGATTCAAACCCTGCCTTGCGGTTCGGCCAGCTATGCGGGAGTGAAAAGTAATTCGAAACCCGAAAGCCCTAAAAGCCCAAATCCTAAAACTCTAAAACCCTAAGCCCTAAAACGCTCAAAACCCTCTACCTACTACCCTAAGCCCTAAAACCCTAAAGTCTCTGCCTACTACCCTTAGCCCTAAAACCCTAAAGCCTCTACCTACTACCCTTAGCCCTAAAACCCAAAAGCCTCTACCTACTACCCTTAGCCCTAAAACCCCAAAGCCTCTACCTACTCAAAAAAAGGTTGCAGAAGCCTTGGCTTCAATGGCCGAAGTGCGCTCCCACGACGCGAAGGTGGGGATGCTTCAGCCCACGCTTCGCGGAGTCCCAAACCCCCCCCCCCCCCCCCTTCTGGTTCTTAGTAGGGAAGAGGGAATTAGGGCCTATATATATATATATGTAATATGTATATTTTATATGTATATATACATATATATATATATTTTTTTATTTATATTTATATACATACCCTTCATAGGGATTATACAGGGTACCTTATGTATACCCTTTTGAGGGGTTATGTAGGGTACCTTATATATACCCTTGAAGGGATTATGTAGGGCACCTTATTCCCTCATTCCCTACGAAGAACCAGCCCTGAAGGTTCCTTCGGGTTTAGGGTTTAGGGTTTAGGGTTCAGGGTTTAGGGTTTAGGGTTTAGCATATATTCACATCATAGAGCAGAAATCTCATAATGCAATAATGCAATGAAATTTAATAATTATGGTTTTAAAGTAGAATCCAATAAAACAGTAGCATAATCACATAACTACATAAACCAATACACAAATAGACAAATACAATAATGAGACTCATAATACAAATAGAGCTAGTAATACTCATAATAACAACAATACTAATAATAGTAAAATCATTTCATACAATCATAAAATAAAAGTCCCTCATCCCCACAAGACGCCAATCATCCGCGAGGCCAACACACCTTTCGCACAATCGGCTCGCCGGAACAGGCGCCGTTTTGCTCGCTGCTCTTGAGGGGTTATGGTTGAATATGCATAAACCCTAAACGCTGAACCCTAACCGTAAACCTTTCGGTACTATGGTAGCTTGGTTGAAGGTCCTCAAAAGCAAGGGCGGGCGGAGTAAGGGGCTTGCAGGGCTAAGCTTGAGGTGTCAAAGGACACGCCTGGGTATTCAAAAGGAAGGCAGTGAGAGGGAAGAGGTGTTTCAGGTGCCCTTACGCAGTTGCGTCGTCTCAGGGCAAAAGATGAACCCGGTTATTTTCCCCTCAAACACCCTGGGCGCCCGAAGCCCCATAACTGAACAAGCCCAAAACCCTCATCTCCTCTCCCGCATCCCATGACTATATCCCTATGGAGTGGCGCCCTGGCGCTTGCCGTGCAGGGGAAAAAGACCCTAAACCCTAAACCCTAAATCGAGCGCAAGACGACATCCGAAGCCAGAGCCACTAGGTTGCATTTCCCCGGCGGCAAAGAAGATGATATCACGGTTGTGGCAGCCTCTTGCCTGCATATCTGTTCATTTGGGGGTTCATTTCGTTTAGGGCGCACATATGGCACATTCGGGGCTGCGTTATGACTAGCTGACTGGCTGTCAGGCACCTAGCCGGGTTTTCGGGGAAGGCTCACGGAAACGTTTTTGAAGCATTTGAAGCAGGTTTCCTACAGTGGCATGGATACTTCCTGAAATGGGGGTGCCCCTCTGAACCCCAGCCTAGGAAATCCTTGTTTTGAATAGGAATCCCTCCAAATAAGAATCCTTCATCTAGGAAACACCACAAGTCGGGACAACGGAAAACCCAGCCCCCCCCCCCCCCCCCCCCCCCCCCTACTAAGGTCCCTGGGTTTGCCCATCCAAAGCCACCAAATAACAACCCCCTTGAAAGTTTGCAGGCGCTTTGAGAAACTGTGCAGCTGCTTGGGAAGGTTCACTTAAAGTTTTACCACCACATGGTCATTTCTTGAAAACTGTGGTCCCTTTATTTAGGTACCCTAAAGAACACCGGCCGCCTTGTAATAAGCGTCATCTTATAGAGGAGCGACCATGTGAGACATATGGCAGACACCTTCGGTGTCCCTCTTCTGGCAGCTCAGGCTTGGGTGCAGAATGAAGACAACAACCAAGGTCCGGGCTGGGAGACATCCCGAAACAGGGTTTAGGGTTTAGGGTTTAGGGTTTAGGGTTTAGGGTTTAGGGTAATAAGCCGTGTAGGCCCTGAACTCTGGATGAACCCTGACCCCCCCCCCCTACGCCTTGAGGCTTGCTGTGAGCATCCCTTTAAAGCCCCTGTTTTGGGATGTTCACCCTTATACTAACAGGTCCTTAGTTTGTTTTTTTTTTTTTTTTTGGGGGGGGGGGGGGGGGGTACTACTATAATCCCTATTAAGGACTGTTAGTATGTGGGGGAACATCCTAACCGCTGTTGGCCAAAGAGACAGTTTTTCAGAAGTCGCCATAGCATTTCCACAATGTATAGGGGTCGGAAGAATTACTAATCGTATTCCCTTCTGCCCCCTTTAGAAATGCACCATACTAACCCCCAGAACCCTAAACCCTCAGAACCCTATTCTATTTATGAAGGCCCCCAAATTAATTGTGCGCGCTGGGGGGCGTGGGAGGTCGAAGCCCTGAGCCCCGAGTCCTCAGGATTCCAAGCCCGGAAGAGCTTCCTCAGAACCCACAGGGTTTAGGGCTTAGGGTTTAGGGTTTAGTGTCGCCTGTTGATGCAACCCTTGCTAAAGGCCTGCTTTCAGGTGTTGCCGGCAGCCTCCTCAGTCCGTGCTTAAAATGGGTTTAGGGTTTAGGGTTAAGTTGCTAGGCGGAAGAGGATCCTGCTCCCAATGCCTACAAGGCTCCAGCTAGATCAGCTAGTGGCCTTCGTACGTCGCAGTCCTCATCGAGTTTTGGTAGTGCTCAATGTTGAGAAGCTGTAGACTAGCTGTTCGTAACCAAGACCCACAAGTGACCAAGTTGTGTTGTGTGGTGTGTGGTGTGTGGTGTGTGTTGTGGGTTGTGTCTGAGTGTGTGTTTGTGTGTGTTGGCTTGCCTGGAGGACACCAGCAGAAAGATGTGACCGTGGGAGCTCTTGAGACGGCAAGCGCAAGACAGACTTGCGTCCTCTCTTAGTGCGACAAGGGTTCGGACAAGCCCGTGCCTGTCCGTGTCCAAATGCACATGTACGCCAAAACAAGACATAAGGGAAGCAGAGCCGTGTGTTTGACGCAGAGCACCGAGACCTTCAGCAGGCAGTTTTCTTGACTCCAAGGGCAGCCTGTCCCAACCCTGCACCACACGCAGTCAGGCAAGGCAAGATGCCTCAAGTGTCATTCCTTTCAGGCACTTTTGGTACAGAAGGTATCCATTTGAAGTGTCTGCTCCCGAGGGCCTTCCCAAACATGTTTTTTTATGCCACTTCTGAAGATGAGGGGATTGCACAGGCCACGGGCCCAGTTCCGATTTTTAGGGTTTAGGGTTTAGGGTTTAGGGTTTAGGGGTTAGGGTTTAGGGTTTAGGGTTTAGGGTTTAGGGTTTAGGCTTAGGGCTACTTCGAGAAAGGCCACAAGAAGAAACGGAGCTTCTCGACTAGAGAATCTCTTGGCACTTCTTGCGTGGAGCAGATGCCAGGCGACGTACTGTACCCAATTTCTTTGCTTGCGATTATCGTGCCAGCTCGTTGTTGGATTGCAGCACAAGGGTCATGCTTGCGCCCCTCTTGCATGGCATACTTAGTGGTCAACAGACATCAACAGTGTTTTTGTTTGCTCCATGCGACGCTGATGCGAGCATGGGCTGCGGCCTCGAAGAAGATTGCGAGCACTAGCAGTTTTTGACATGCCCTTGGAGGGCCGCGATGGAGGAAGCTACCACTGCCGGCAAGGGTTGTTGCAGTTTCTTCTTGTATACCCCTGCCGGCATCGTCTCCGTACGTGAAACCGATCGATTGCGCAAGACTTTCACCGATCTGACTCAGATCCTGTTTCTTTAGTGCTCACGACACAGATTGACGAGCAACTTTTGAGACGTCATACCCGTCGCGTCGACCGGTGACCTCAAAACTCAAAACGTTTGGCAGGCATCGGTGTCCCAACCCCATACCCCGGTTTGTCTGGAAGAATGAGAAAAACTCCCAAATCAGGGTCTCTTCATTGTAGACCACACTGACCCTCAATGAGACCGAACCCCTCAAAGTAGAGCTTGGTGACGCTGTGTCAAATCAGGGCATTTTGGGCAGTGGACTGCAGCGACCATGAGATCGCGTGGCCTTTCCCACTCGTATTCATTGCACATTGGGTCCCTCTCTTAATCCTACTTACAAGTACAAGGGGACTCGTTAAACGGAGTTGCGGCTATGGTTCAGACTCCAACCCAGCTAGGATGCAGAGGGGGTTTGCAACACTCGGTGGGGACAGGAGATGAACCAGTGCTCACATCCGCTTGCTAATGGCCAACGATCCCTCACTCAAGCCTAAACCCTGAACGGATCTTGGGTTTAGGGTTTAGGGTTCAGGGTTTCCATCTGGCTAGTCCTCAAGCCCAGTTGCAAAAGGGTGATCCAGTTATCATGTACGTAATCCCATCATTGTCGGTTGATCATAGCAGTTCGAAGACTCCACTTTTTGGTTTAGCCGCGGAGGAGGGGCAGGGGAGAGGTTTAGTGGTTTAAGGCCTTAATCGCGCCTGGATGCGGAAAGAAGCCCTAGACCCTGGACCCTAGACCCTAGACCCTAGACCCTAAACCCTAAACCCTAAACCCTAACCCTAAACCCTAGACCCTAAACCCTAAACCTTAAACCCTTAACCCTAAACCCTAAACCCATGCCATTGAGTCTCCCAGGCGCGGACCAGTCCTTGGATTCGGATGCCGATTGGTGCCGACCGGCCTCGGCCAGCTCCAAAGCACCGGCAGAGGCATCCAAGAAGGGACCTACGAATATACATATGTGTGTATATATATATATGTGTGTGTGTATTCATACTTACTACTATACATATATACATATGTATATATGTATATATACATACATACATACATACATATGGTATATATCGATATATCATTCTTATTTTCTATGAATTTCCATGACCAGAGGTAACTTCAGGTCTCTGGTCTTGGGGGTGATATGTGTCTGTGTGTGTGTCATACATTTGTTATTCAGACACGCACACACACATAAAACACATGTACACGTAGATGCATGTGATAAATGAAGATCAGGTACCCGGGGGCGGGGGAGAGGGGAGTGGTAGATGGCTTGCAGCTTTGGCTGTTCTGGGCATTCTCATGCAATAACCCTGCCGTAAACGCTGCTGGCCAGGAGCGTAAGTAACGGTCCCAAAACTCGGCCATCCCCTCTCCCACCCGAATCCTTGTGAAGTCCAGGGTTCTGCACTGCAGTCTGAACCCTTTAGGGCTTTGGGGTTGAGGGCCGGGTTTTTGAAGATCCTGGCTCAAGTGGTGAAGGAGGCGGTAGAAGAAAACGGATGGGCCTACGCCGCCGAAACGCCGAACCCTAAACCCCTTTTCCTCCTAGGCGGCGACCTCGTAGTGCGCGGCTAGACCTAAACCCTAAACCCCCAAAACCCTAAACCCTAAACCCTAAACCCCCTAAACCCTAAACCCTAGATGGGTAGCTCAAGAAGCCCGAAACCGAAGGAGCGCTCAGAGTCAGCAGGTAGGTGCGGGACCAGGAAGGAGGAGATTTTACAGAGACCCCAACACCTCTTTGCGAAAAAGATCTTGGGTTTAGGGTTTAGGGTTTGGGGTTTAGGGTTTAGGGTTTAGGGTTGTAATTCGAAAGAAGGTCAGTTTCGGTCAATGTCAGCCATGGAAAGCTCTGCCACAATCGTTCGCAGAACCTATCGCTACACGCACCCTGATGGGTCAACTTCGTGTGAAACTGTTCTCCGATGCCCTCACCAGGGATGCGAAGTAGAATGCGCCGATGTCCAAGGACTGGCCTCACACACTTCGCAGGCGCATGGTTTTCAGCTGGGTGAGCCGGTCAGTTGCACTGGAAACTCTACACGGACAACTGCGGACTTACCAAATGCAAGTCAGAAAGTGACGCGGCTGCGTCTTCCTGATGGCGAGGTTCGGCTAGTTTGCCCTCACTGCCAGCAGCAATTTCCCGCAGATGAGGCAACTTTCCTGAAGCACATTGCTGAGACTTGGACTTGGAAGCCCATTGGCTACCCCTTTGGCCCTTTTCTTGGTTCAGGGTTCATCAAGGTTCCCTTAAGAACAATGCCCAAAAAGGGTACCGTACCCTTACTGTAACATGGCTACTGGGCTACCAAGGAGGTGCATGGTCGTGCTCTGGCTGGTCATGGAGGAAAGTTGTCTGGTGACTCTGAACACCTTGATCTGCTCCACGCATGCTCATCAGAGAAGCATCCGCGGGCGACGGAGATCCTTACGCGCCTTCAGCTGATCTCATTAGGTTCCTACTGTGGGATGAAGTTTTCGATACAACGTCTGGGTTGTGGCAGTGCCCATCTTCCCTTCGACTGGATTCGGACCACGCAAGGGGGCTTGGTGCATTTCCTACGGACAGGCTTCACCGACTACTTCTGTGTGGCAAGCAAGCTGGAGATAAAGTCAGCGGCGTTGACAGTGCATCGGGGGGAGAATCATTCTTTCTGGCACGATGACGTCAGCCAAGCTTCTGTCAGAGAGAAGCTGCGCCGGCGCGTGACCCGATTCCTTGAGATGGCAGCAAACTTTCCGACTCAGACTCGGGACTACCTCTTCCTTCGCAGCTGCGCTTGCACGTCTGAGCTCCATCGCGTCGAGGATCTCTACACTACACTAGTGGAGCGGTGTGCCCCTGGACAGAATCCCCCACGGGTGTTACTGGCAATCATCATTGATGGCCAGGCGCAGAGGCAAGGTCCGATTCATCACGATTCGCTGCCGGGCCTTGTTTTCTTCACGCAGGAGCAGTCAAGCGAGGAAGATGTCACAGATGGCCAGGCATACTCTTGGGCAGTTGGGGCAGCTTGTGATGCGGCGCTGATGGAAAGCTTGCAAGGATTTGCAAGGCAGCCTGGTCAGAGGGTGGTCAAGAGCGGCAGCGAGCTTTTGGAAGGTGGACACTGGGGAGGCAGATGGCACCCGCCGCTTCAATCGTGTGAGGCAGGTCTGCACTCGGGTTACGGTGTGAGCTGCTTTGAGACATCTGGCGCAGCACACTTGGATTTGGACACTGGCTCAGAACCAGACATGGCGAGAACACGTTCGCGAGAGCAGGACCCCGCATAAGAAAGGATGCGAATCCATGTGTGCACGCATATACTTGTCCCCCCTTCGGCCGCTAGCTTGGGATGAAGTGGAGGCCTCCCTAGGCCCTATATGCCTCCGTCCGTACGCTTTCGTGCAACATGCTGCACTTATACTTCCCGAACTCTCGAACTCCCTATACCATATCGGAGGTCTTTCAGGCCCGTGCCAAAAACCTCCGAAGTCACAAGCGTGTGATGAACCCAGCTGCCGCATGTGTGGACGCTTCTTGGGCAGGCTGTTTGCGGCCTGGTGCGTTGGGCCCTTAACACTGTAGAGCTCAACTGCAGATCGGCGCCATTGACCTTACTCGTAGGCGGTTTGGGGTTTAAGGTGTAGGGTTGAGGGTGCGTGTCCAGGGCGCGCTGGTAGTCATGAACTCTGCTTTGGGCGTCCACCGAGTCGGAGCTGTGTTAGACGCTTGAAACTGCTTCCCAGGTGCCGAGTGGCTCGTGCCTCAGATGCTTCAGCAGCGGACTGCATAGAATCACCTTTGGCCCCTAAACCCTGAACCCCTGAACCCTAAACCCCTGAACCCTAAACCCTAAACCCTAAACCCTGAACCCTGAACCCCTGAACCCTAAACCCTAAATCCTAAACCCTAAACCCTAAACCCTAAACCCTAAGGCCCAGGTAACCTCGAGGTCGGTGTCAATCTTGCGCAACCACGACCATGATCACGCTTGCAGATGAATCGAAAGTCAGAGTCCCAAATGACTCCCCCCTGGCGGATCTGATTTCTCCAAGACGTGCACTGAAGCACCCAAACCCCGTTGGCATGCCGCAGGTTTGAAAACCGCTACAGTGGTCTCTTCCAGAAGGACGGTGGTGTGTGCTTGATGCACCG